ATTCACCAGAGACAGAGTGGGGCACAGAACAGGCAGATGGATGAAGTACACTGCTGAGAGGAGCAGTGGGCGGGTCAGGAGAGGTCTGCCTCGCCATGCGGATCTCCTCAGGGGCAGGCGGGGATCCAACTCATGCGGAAGTGGCTTAAGCTTCTTAGTGCTGTGCTTTAACCCGCTGCGCCACCAGGGAGGGCCTCTCCTTCCAATAAACTCTTGAAACCATTTTTGGTGCACAGGACATAGCCACCCTGGTTTTAAGTTGATGCTTTCATGTTTGATACTTCCAAAAAATAAGAACTGATTCCTGAATCTGAAACATGTTCATTGTTTTTTGCTAAATTAATGTCATTAAGATTTCCTTTTGTTCATCATACACCCTATATTTCAGTCAAATGAAATCAATAGGTGCCATATAAGTGAAAAAGGACTTTTTATGTTGTACATTTTCAGTTTGTAAAGATAAAAGTAAATTGATTAAAAATAAACATGTTTAAATTTATTTGGAGAGTATAAATAAGCAAGTATTGTTACAAAAATATTTCATAAGCAATGGAATGTTATTTTTTAATTTAACATCATTGTAATTTACAGAATAATGTAACGTGGACTCAGATAATATAGATTAGTCAGAGAAATTATATAATTTGAAAATTCACTACATTTTTTATTGCACCCTTTTATTACTCTCGCTTCATTTAATTTTTGGTCTGTTTATTTTGCAGTCCAGTCGTAACAAACTTTAAATATTTGTCATTTAATTCCACAATTACACTAAAACTCACAAATCAAACTTAAAGACTTTTAAAATATGCATTATCTCATTCCACCCTTACAGCATGGTAAGAACTAAATTGTGATTATTATTAATTTTTGTTTTATAAAGAAGGAAAAGTTTAAATATTAGTATAATGTGGAAAATAGCATCATTGATAGTTATAATAAATACTCTAAAATGTTAAGGGACGAATTATTAAGAAAAATTATCTTTTGCGCTATTAAGGAAAAATACATAATAATTTATTTTTCGTATCCAAAAGGCTTGGTGCTGTACGCAGAGATATGGGCTGAGGATATAACATTCTTCTCCATATTATTTCCAGAGTACATAATTCTGATTAGTGACAAGAAAAGCCAATTTAGGTTAATACTCTATAATCAAGCACAAGTATATGTGCACCAAAAAGGGGCAGAATACTATTATTGTTTTGATTGGAAATTTTTCTTAAAAATGAGGGTGTGTGGGCCCTCCCTGGTGGCGCAGCGGGTTAAAGCACAGCACTGAGAAACTAAAGCCACTTCCGCATGAGTTCGATTCCCGCCTGCCCCGGAGGAGACCACACGGCGAGGCAGACCTCTCCTGACCCGCCCACTGCTCCCCTCAGCAGTGTGCTTCGTCCATCTGCCTGTTCTGCTCCCCACTCTGTCTCTGGTGAAGCCTCTCGCCACCCCTGCACTTCTGGCCTGTACCCCTCAGTTCTGTAGGCATAAATAAATAAATCTTTAAAAAAAAAAAAAAATGAGGGTGTGTGGGTGTGTTAGGATTATAGGTAGTTCCTTTTTTTCAGACATCAGAGGCCTCAAATTACTGAAAAGATATAAGATGTTCTTCATATTTGTTTAAAAGTTTAGCTTGAGAACAAACTGTAGGGAAAATGAATGAAAATTGTATATCTCCTGTACTCTTTAAAAGTAATTCACATTTCCACTACTGTGATTCACTCAAAGAGATTGGGGAGAGGCATAAAGATATCACTTCATATCATGTTTAATCTTTAGTTAGATAATGTTTTATAAAATTAATATCCTTTATTGAAAAAAATTAATAGTATATTTACAGACTTTTAAAAGTACATATTTAATTTTTTAATACAATTTTTTAATGTTTTTAGCATTATTGATTTTGAGCTGTTGGATCACAGGTGTATATTACCACATCACACTCACCAACAAGGCACGGAAAATTTACATATTCTTCAGTCTTCACTAATGAAGGAGAGGGCAAAAATAAGGAAAAAGTACTTTCTCAGGAGAATTATATAAACTCTAGTAAATTATTTGTAGGAATCATATCCAGTGCTGCTAAATCTTTAGATTTTAAGACAAATTAAAATCTGAAATTTTTTACACAAAATCATTTAATTTTTCAATTTCAGCATATAATTCAAAATGTAAGGAAATACTGTGTCAGGTACTAAACCAAAAGAAATGTCTGTAAAAGCTGTATCTGTGGCCCAGTATTACACTTAATTCTTATATCAGTGACATTCACTGAAAATTCAGAAATTTTACAACAAGGATAATCTGTACAGGATTTCTAAAAAAAAATTAAACATAGTGAAGGGCATTAAAGGTTAATAATAACATAAAATATTTTCTGGGGCCCTCCCTTGTGTGGCAGCACTAAGAAGCTAAAGCCACTGCAACATGAGTTCGATCCCTGCCCTGGACGTGATCCACAGGCATGGCAGACTTCTCCTGACCCACCTACTGCTCCCCTCAGCAGTGTAGTTTGTCAGTCGGCCTGTTCTGTTCCCCACTTTGTCTCTGGTGAATCCTCTCACCGCCCCTGTATCTCTGGACAGTACACCCCAATTCTGTATACATAAATAAATAAATCTTTAAAAAATATTTTCTGGTAACTTACCCTTGCCAGTTATGTTCCAAATGCTTTACACAAATGAATACACTAAACTGTGCTACCCCTGGTGAAGTAAGTGCTATTTATTTCAGTTATTTTTCTGATAGGTGCATAGGAAAAAGAAGGGGTAAAGTAGCTTTACCAGGGCATAGAGCTTTGGAGAAGCAAAATTACAGTCCAAAGTGAGGAATATAACCCTGAGCCTGCTATGTCACTCAACTTTTTCCCCATACTCTTGATAACTAAAATAAGCTGTATTTTTTGCTAGCAGATAATAGATAGAAAAATGACTTTTTTCCTTTACTAAACTCTCCTCTTCTTCCACTCAATACTCTAAATTCTAAATTTGTGAGTATAGGTTTGGGTCTTTATGTCTTGTAAATGGGGACCCATGGAGTAAGTTCAAGGAGATCTTGAAATTCTGAAATTTTATGCAACATTTTATGTAAGTATACATTTCCATACCTTTTATTAGATTGCCAAGGGTGTCTGTGTATTTACTTTAAAATTCTGTGGAATGGATAACATAGCTAAAGTAAATTTCCTTTTAAAATTAGACTAAAAAATCATAACACTTTGTTTTATTGTACAAATGTAAAAACCATATTCATGGTTTCATATTACTTAGTTTCTGTTACCTGTGGTCAGCCATGACCCCAAAATACTACACACAGTAAATATTTTGAAATAGAGCTGTCATATTCATTTAACTTTTATTATAGTATTCATAATTTTTCTATTTTACTATAATCTCTTATTATGTCTAAATTTTAACAGAGGTGTGAATGCATAAAACAGCATGTTGGGTTTGGGTAGTTGCAGGCATCCTTTAGGGATCTTGGAACATATTCCCTTTGGTAAGTGGGGACTATCTAATGCTTTTTAGAGATTGCATTATTTAAGTGATTTGAGGCACTATGACATAGTGGTGAAATCCCATTTCACAAAATTTCCAAAATTGAAGAACATAAAAGCTTTTAATAATAATAATGGCTAATATTTTTATAGCACATCACATTCTAAATGCAGATGAGTATGTAAATGAGTATGTTTAATCCAGGTAACAATAAATTTCTTCATCTGTTAAAATAGGGGTAAGAATTACTTCAGAGTATTTGGGAGAGGAGATCATGAGATAATGCATGTAAGATATTTAGCATATACTTCTCAGTTATATATTCTCTTTACTATGTCTTTTATGAAATCCAGATAATATATTTCTGGTGTACTATATATTTTAACATATATTTGACATGTATTTTTAGCGCATATATATATTTTTTAAAGATTTATTTATTTATGCATATAGAACTGGGGTACAGAAGTGCAGGGACAGTGAAATGATGAAGTACACTGCTGAGGGGAATAGTGGACGGGTCAGGAGAAGTCTGCCGCTCCATGTGGGTCACCTCCAAGGTGGGGATCGAACTCATGTTGAAGAGGCTTTAGCTTCTTAGTGCTGTGCTTTAACCTGCTGTACCACCAGGGAGGGCCCAACATATATTTTACTTAGAGTTTTGATATTCATTACTGAATATATCTGTTACCATCACAGGAAAGGCATAAAGACATTTTTATTAAACATTAAAGTGCATGTATTTTATTAACACAAATATTGAGAAGTTGCCCATTGATTTGCTTGTTTTCCAGATTGTGAGATTTCATGGTGGAGCTCTCCCTGCCTATGTCATATCTAGCATTCTTCTTGCTTATGGAGGACAGTTATCCTCTCTTTTTTCAAAAGGTAAGAATTTTTCTATTTTATCCTCTGTCTCTCTCTCCCTCCCTGTCTCCCTTCCTTCCTCAATGGTTCATTACTACTTTTTTATCTTGCATTTAACTAATGAAGACATACCACTTTTTAAAAATAATATAATAGTTTATTTTTGCATCATTTTGTACATTTTTTTTCACCTCAATTGTAATCCCCGTGCGTTTTCCATCACCAAGTCGCCCATGTTCCATCACCATAGTCCAGTGCACTTCTCTTCCCCCACCTTTTTTGATCCCATTACCTACTCCAGCCCCGCAAAATGTCTCTGGTATATGGCTGTTCATTATTGCTATTATTTTCTCCTCTGGTCCTTTATACTACTGCTATGAGTGAAACCATCCAGTATTTTTCTTTTTCATTCTGGCTTATCTCACTAAGCATGATCTTTTCCAGCTCCATCCATGTTGCTGCAAAAGGCATGTGTTTCTTTTTTTTTTTTGGTTGCTGAGTAATATTCCATTGTATATATGTACCACGTCTTTTAATCCAGTCATCTACTTTTGGGCATTTGGGCTGCTTCCATGTTTTTCCAATTGTAAATAAAGCAGCAATAAACATGGGGGTGTAGGTATCTTTTTCAATCAGTGTTTTTGTGTCTTTTGGGTAGATACCTAGGAGTGGGTTTGCTTGGTCGTAGGGAAGCTCCATGTTTAGCAGTTTGAGGAGCCTCCAGTTTTCCATAGTTGTTGTACTAGTTTGCATTCCCACCAGCATTGCAGGAGAGTTCCTTTTTCTCTACATCCTTGCCAACATTTGTTGCTGCTAGTTGTTTGAAGATGTGCCATTCTCACTGGGTGAGGTGGTATCTCATTGTGGTTTTAATTTGCATCTCCCTTATTACAAGTGATGTTGAACATTTTTTCATATGCTTGTTGGCTATCTGCATTTCCTCTTTGGAAAAGTGTCTTTTTAGCTCTTCTACTCATTTTTTGATGGGGTTGTTTACTTTATTTTTGTTGAGTTGCATCAGTTTTCCGTATATTTTTGTGATCAATCCTTTATCACTAGTTTTGTGTGAGAAATTTTTTTCCTAAGTAGTGGTCTGTCTGTTTGTTTTTGTAATGTCTCTTTTGCTGTAGAGAAGCTCTTTAACTTGATGTAGTCCCATCTGTTTATCCTTACCTTCACTATCGTGGCATTGGGTGCTCTATCTTTAAAGATGTCGCTGACGTGTATGTCGTGTAGTGTTTGGCCCATCTTTGCTTCCAGGTATTTTATGGTTTCCATTCTTATGTCTAAGTCTTTAATCCACTTCGAGTTGATTTTTGTGTATGAAGTAAGGTAGTGATCTAGTTTCATTTTTTTTTGCATGTAGCGTCCCAGTTTTCTCAGCACCATTTGCTGAACAAACTTTCTTTGTTTCATTTTATCTTCTTTGCTCCTTTGTCAAAAACTAGCTGTCCATAAACTTGTGGGTTTATATCTGGTTTTTTGTTCTAATTCACTTGTCTGTATGTCTATTCTTGTTCCAGTACCATGCAGTTTTGATTATTATGACTTTGTAGTATAGCTTGAAGATTGGGATTGTAATGCCTCCATTCTGATTTTTCTTAGACATGAGGGTTTTGGCTATTCGAGATCTTTTGTTGTTCCATATGAATCTCATCAATATTTTTTCTATTTCTTTGAAGAATGTCATTGAGATTTTTATTAGGATGACATTAAATCTGTACAGTGCTTTTGGCAGGATGGCCATTTTGATGATGATAATTCTCCCAATCCATAAGCAGGATGGAAGAAATAACACTTTTACAAAAATTCACAACTTACTTTTCTCAAGTATTCAGGGGTTTGAGATTTTCTCTGTTTTAAGAACTTCCCAAGGAAATGCCTTACTGTTTTCTCCATTTTATACCATTGTGCCAAAAGTTTCTTCCCTCTATTGTGAGAAGTTCTTAAGAACTAGAGGCTGATAGATAGGGGTCTTATTCTCCATTCTATTTTTGGTGCCCAATATAATATAAAGCACATAGTAAGCATTCACTATACTATTTGGTCTGTAGCAGTTAGGTCTTGGCACACTGAATGGAATGATTGAGTTAATGATGGGCCAATTTCAAAGGTATATGTAGTGTTAAGGGAAACCAACAAGAAATGATAAAATACCAGATAAGCAATAGCCATCTAGTACTCCCAGTTACCAACTAAGGAAGGAACAAATCTAGAGATCAGTAAGCAAGAGCAACATTACTGTGGCTGGAATTTTACGTTTGTACAGGAACTCTGCAACTTCTGTCAGTCAGCCTTTATCTTGGCAAGAGAAATGGTGGGGAAATAATAGCCTTCTTTCCATCTGCCAGTGCCTTTCATTCACTGAACTCAACAAGAAGCCAGTCCATAAAAGTCAGCCTCTCAGAATTCAGGTCAAAGTTAAGAGTGGAGAATGGATCTTAAGCAAACACAGATTATAGTCCATTGGCGGGGAAACAAACCTTTCAAGATTATAGCAGTTAGAACAATTTCCAAGGTCCTAAATTTTATAAGACACTTATATACTTATTAGACTCAAATCTAATCAGGAAAGACAACAGATAGTGAAAAGAGAGTAGGCCTAAAGATAAAAGCAGTCTAAAATCCCCCTCACCATTTCCATCTTGCCAGGTCCTTCTGTAGCTACTCCTGCCTTCCATGACTTTGTACAGTTTCATTTCTACCTTTAGTAATCATTCTAATCTAATTTAACTAATATACCAGAAAGGAAGCAACATTCAAGTGATCTGCCCAGATTCAACATTTTAACTTAAAGATTATTTGGGCAAAGTGATATCAACTGAATTTGAATGTCTTTTTTTTTTTTTTTAAAGTTTAAAAGAGACACCTTATTCTTAGTTTCAAGTGTCTTGCTAATTGATTTTGAAAAATACCAGTTTTATATCTAGGTAGTTCACAGCGACCCCAGGGATATATCATATTGGTTTATTGGAGGATTTAGGTATGGATTTGGTATCAAAACAATTAAAAGAAAATTCTAAAACAATGATGTCATCAGAAATCATCTGTGGATCATATTCATTGGAATGACTGTAATAAAAAACAAAAAAAGACATATCATAACAAGTGTTAATGATGATGGGGAGAAATTGGAACCTTCATACACTGTGATATAAAATGAGAAGTTGTTTTGGAAAGCAGTCTGGCAGTTCCTCAGACAGTTAAGCATAGTTTTTATATGACTGAGCAAGGTATATCCAAGAGAACTGAAAACATACACCCATACTAAACTTGTACACTAATATTCACAGGAGCACTAAACCATAGAGCCAGAAAATAAACATAACCAAAATGCCTGTCCTCTGATGAATGGATAAATAAAATATACTTTAACATGGCATAATGCTGTGAGTATACTAATGAAAGGAGTCTGTCACAAAGGACCACATATATAATTCCATTTATATGAAATGTTCAGCATAAGCCAAGATGTTTAGACAGAAATCAAAGCAGTGGTAGCCTAGAAAAGGAGAAACAGTGGAGATGAGAGTAAAGGGGAGTAGTTTCTTCTGGGAGTAATATATATATTTTCTGCTGGATTATAAAAATGGATGAGCAGTTCTGATATACCAAAGCCACTAAATGCACAACCGTTAAGTGGGTGAATTGTGTGTAATGAGAATTATATCTCAGTGAAGTTTTTTTTTTTTAATTAAAAATTATAGTAGAACTTTGAGAAAAAACAGATGGTGAAATCCCAGTCTTGGCTTCCTGAATTTGCTTTACAAGTGATTGAATGTGTTCTCTGTGTGAACCATTGAATTACAATTGTTTTTAATCTATTTTTTAAAGTTTTGTTTATTTATGCTTACAAGAGCTGAGTAATAAGCCAGAGATGCAGGGAGTGAAAGCACTCACTGAAGAGACAATGGGGAACAGAACAGGTAGATCTACTGAAATACACTGCTGAGGGAACAGCAGGTGGGCCAGGAGAGGTCTGCTAGGCCATTTGGTTACCTCCCTGGCCAGGAATCAAAACTTGTGCAGCAGTGGCTGTAGATAGCTTCATAGTACTGCACCTTAACCCCTGGCCAACCAGGGAGTCCCAGTTTTTAATCTTTTGAGGAGTGTTTTTGTGTCACTCTCTATGACATGAAATGTGTTGCTGTTAGACAATGCAGGATAAAATGTCTCAAACTTACTGTGCATATTCTACCACATATAATTTGTTTTAATGACCAGGTCATTGCTTACCATATGCTACTGTGTTGGATAAAGAAGCCAAACCATACAAAGTTGATCCTTTTGTAATAATGATTAAATTTCTCTTGGGGTAAGTTTTATTATCTATGGTAAGGATTTTACTGTTGTTTTATAAATAGAACATATGCTAAACACCATAATAAAATGTAAAATTTCATACATTGATGGCACTTGATGTGATTTGTGGAAATTTTTCGCTTAGACAAAGGCCTTATAAGTATATCAACATTTACTTCACTAGTATAAACTTTCCAAAAATAACTATTGAACTTATATCAATCTAAACTTAAACTGTAAATATACTATGCTTTTAACATTTGCAAAGGGGTATTAACGTTCCTGATCTTCAATTATCCATATAATTTTTAAATAGTTATTTTGCATAGAAGAACTGGGGTGTAGACCACAGATGTGGGGGTAGGGTAAGAGCATTTACCAGAGAAAGAGTTGGGGAGCAGAACAGGAGGATTTACTGAAGTACACTACTGAGGGTAGCATTGGGCAAGATAGAAGAGGTCTGCTGCTCCACGTGGGTTAGCTCCATGGCTACAGATTGAACAATGGCTGTAGTGATGATAGTTTGATATTGCTGACACTTAACCCCTAGGCCATAAAGGAAACTCTGTCACATACTCTTGATGAAATAGTGCCCAAGTGTAGTTTATATAGCTCTACTCTACTTAGTACTTCATTCATAATTTATTTATATTTCGTTGCTTTTTGCTTAGGAATTTATGACTTTTTTCTGTCCTTACAATTAGCTTTTAACTTTCTAACTTTTGTTTTCTAGCTAGCTTTTAGCTTTTCTAACATGTCTTTATCAAAAGCATCAATAGAGAACAGTAAAGTTATTTACTTAGTACTCAGATCCTTGAAGATCAGGACACTCTCTTGGGTGATCATGACTTCCTCCCTGCAGAACTGAAATTTGTTTCCTAGTATAATTCTAGATTCAGTAGCATAGAACTTGAGGAATTCCAGTGGCTGATAAGATACCTCAAGTATTAGATTGTTGAATGTTAGTTGTTCATATTTTTTAATTTTATGTTATCTTTTATCCACAGATATAAATGGTTTAAAGAACTATGGGATGTGTTATTATTACCAGAATTAGATGCCATCATTTTAACTAGTCAGAGTATGTGTTTCCCCCTTGTTTCCTTGATTCTCTTTCTTTTTGGAACATGTACTGCCTACTGGGGTGGTCTGCTCTCTTCTACAACTGTGAGACTCCTTTCTTCATTGTGGCTAGCTTTGAAAAGGTAAAGAATAAAGTCTTTTTCATTGCTCTTAATTAAGAAAAGAATAATATTCTATAGTAAGCCTTAACATTAACTTGCTTTCACTAACTGATAACTTCCAAAGAAAAGATGTATAACTAGGAAAACACAGGTCAGTGTTAAGTTTTTGCCAAAGATAACCATTTATTACAAGTTAAATGCTACATCTGATTTTAATCTTATTGTTTAAACTTTATCAAAAACCTTTGGAAAATAGCATACGTTTTAAAATTTAACTGTTGTAAATCTTTTCAAGGAGGAAGTATTTCTCTCATAATGCTTTTATATACTGATTTACAATCAAACCTAAGGACAAAGAACTAATTGAGATGTTTAAGGTCAAAGTATCAAAAACATTTATTATAGGCCTAATTTACTATAGGTCTGAGCTTTACTATAGGCCTAAGATGCCGTGTAAGTTACTGATAAGCTTCTCTGATAAACCACTAGTCTCATTTCCATTGCCACTCCTCCTTACCAGACACATTATGTACTTTACTGTCACAGAGGGGCTTATGGTGTGATACTTCTTTTTCCATCGATGTGAGATGCTTCTGACATTAACAGCATTATGTTTTTGAATAAGCAGGAGACCTTGAGAAATACAAAATTCTTCTTCCTCCTTTCAGAAATGTCTGACACAGGTCTTTAATTAATTAATTAATTAATTAATGGAAAAGGCATTATTAGGACTTAAAGTCAAATATGTCATCCCTCACCTTTAAGAAATAGCTTATTGTATGCCACTTATATTTTAATAAGCAAGAAAGGCTGATTATTGTTTTCTTCTTATATGTGACTGTATAAGTAACTATTAAATTATTCTTAAAAGCTTTATTCTTGCTATTCCAGGCCTTCTGAACTTCCTAAAAATACCAAGATCATATCATCATATTTGTCCTGTTTGACAATTATTTTGATCTTAGTTGGTTGGACAACTTGTGGATCATTTGCCATACTTCTTACTTATCTTTACTATGTGGTTAAGGTATGTCAAGTCAGTAGCAAAATGACTAGACTTTATAGCAGGCAGGCATCCAATTTTCTGTAAGTATTGTTAATGAAAACTCTATTTACTATAGTGGTAACTTTCTGCTGTTTAACATGCTTAAGTATGAAGTTTTTTGCTTTTTTTTTTTTTTTAAAAAAAACCTTGGCTAAAAGATATATGCAGTTCACTATAGAACTGAAATTATTAATCAAAATTAGGTTTCTTTGTTTAAAAAGGGAGGAGGAAAGATTTGCTCTGTTTCATATTCTTGCTTTGACTATTCATGTAACTTTTTAAAAACATTTCATATCTGCCTTTGAACATGTGTAATAGACAAAACAAAAGTTGTATCAAAATTATCAAGCTGTCAATCTTCCTAAAATAATATAAAATATGACCAATGTTGCTAAAGATTCAGAAGTCAATGGTAAAAATAATTAGGATGATAATTTTACTGAGTCAGTGAAAAATACATTAAAGAAGGTCAGTAGTCTTGCAGGAAATTCTAGGTTATACAACTGCATACTCTTCACTTTTATGTAGGGAAATGTAATATTAGATAGGTAACAGTTTTTCCTTGTTTAAGCAAAGGGTTTACTTGCTTCTGCTTTTAGCACTAATAAATGTATGTTATAGATTATTTTCAGTTTTCCTAAGAAAATTTATGTCCATCAGAAAAAACTATTGAGAGCTTCTTGAATTTATGAAATATATTTTAGTATTTTAAACTTATTTTTAAAACAACTGACTAAGCAAACTTCTCAAATGCTTAAAGAAACCCAATAAAGTTACAAACTTTCCCATGTTCTTAGAAATATTTTACCATCACATTTAGTTAATAATATTTGTAAAGATTTAAAATATATAAAAGAAGTTAAACTTATTATATTGTTTTAAATTTAATCCAAATTTTGACCCACAAGACATTTCTATAACAGAACATAATTCTAACAGCTCACAGAATATAAAAAGCATAGATATACATTGTGGTTTTTAATATACTGTGAAAGTTTGTGGGTTTTTTGTCTTTTAATGTATATTGCAGGCATTTGTGTTATTTATCTTTTCTAAAATAATGCATTTAAATATTTAAGGGAGTTTTTATTTTATGTTTTTAGAATTTCAGATTATGATTCCTCTCAAATTTAATAAAATTGTTCTTTGTTTCAAAATAAAAGTAAAAATAAATATTTCTTTTTCTTAGGTTGTTCATCTGCAAGCCAGCATAACAACTTTGAAAAATAGCCATTCTGCAGTAAGTTTTATTTTTAAAACTCTGCATCACTTTAATAAGAAAGTATTTGGAAAAATATAAAAGCTTTATTTTAAAATTTAGGATTTTAAAGTGTTTAAAAGATATTGTAAACTTACTAACTTAAAAAAAAGTGAACCTAATGAATATTAAAATAGATTTAGATTGCTTAATTTTAATTTGATTCTTGCCAGTGCGTGTTTGTTTTTGTTACTGTAAATTTTGTTTTAAATTTTATTTCAAGTAATTACTTAGAGAGTATATTCCCAGTCATGGAATAGTAAGTCAAAGGAGTGAAATTTTTATAATTGCTTCAAAATACTTTTAAACAAGGTAGTTTCAGTACTTATCAATTCAGCATTGAAAAATGTGTTTACTTAGCTGTTAAGTAAATAGAACAATAAACTCAAATTTTTACTAATTTTCTTTATGTTTTTATATCATTGCTTGCTAGAATCCTAAACACTCTAAAAGAAGTGAAAAAAAATCCAATCACCATAAAGACTCTACAGCACACAATCTTCATTTATCTGCCAGTGATGCTGAAGATAGTCTTCACATGCACAGTACTGTGATTAACTTACTAACATGGATTGTATTACTCAGTATGCCATCTTTAATTTATTGGTTAAAGAATCTTAGGTGTGTATATAGTTATAATTTATGTGGCTCACGTAATAATTATCTGCAAGTGGTCCTGAAAACAACTTCAAGTTCAGTAATAAAATAATAATCATTAAGAAGTTAAATTTCCTGAATTTTATTTTCAATTTGCTCACATTTTCCTCTAACCATTACAGTTAAAACTTTGGGAATAAAAACTTCCTGAAAATCTGCCCCCCAAGTAGAAAACTGTAATAAATTTTATTTACCTTTAACTTTCTTTCAACTAAAGCATGTGTGGAATTGTACTTTACTTTGTTGACTGAAGTTGTTTATAATGCTACTGCTTTATGATTTGTTTTCAATTCTAATTTTGTTTTCTCAAATTTGGAGAAGAAAATGCTTAAATTTAAAAACACTAATAATAGAAGAATGTGTACTTTCATAATGTGTACCTTGTATGGAACTAAAATTAATGATTATTATTTTACTACTGAAACCTGTTATTGCTTTGTTACTTCATATGTCCTAGGAAAATGAGAGCCTGGAAATATCCTTTAGGATTATTTCTAGACTATTGCGTTATTGGTAAATTGGTTAAAAAATATAAGTAGATCATCTCCCGTAAGTAATGGCTCTTTTTGCTCAATACAGTGTTTAGAAATATTTATTATAAAGCTTTCGGGTAATCTAATTGTAATTTTTTTTTTAAAAAAGTCTACAAAACTAAAATTAGTTCAATAAATCAAATCATTATTTGTTAATATCCTTTCTTTGTCCCTCATTTTAGTCATGATCCAGGTTTTTGTTCATATATTTGGAGAGAATATTGAAGATACAAATTTATGACTCTGAAGGTTACAGAGCTCTCATTGTCAGTGAATGCAAGAGATGAGAATTTGGCTTTTAAAACTATAAGGGACAGTTCTCTACATTTTTGTTTTTTTTAAATAGTGCAGCATTTATATTTTTAGAATGATTTGTTTTACAAAAACATTTTTATATGACCTTTCAGGCTTATGCCTATTAGAAAAAGGAAGTGTTTTAATGTTGTTTGTTTTTATTTCTTTTAGTGGTTTCTGAACATTAATTGTCCATGGAAACCTTTGGATATAAAGAAGATCTAGAACAAAAAATATTTATTAAAGAACTCATATAACTTTTTAGCGCTCCCATAATCTTGTTATTACTGAAATATTTTAAAATTTATTTTATTGATTTTGGTGATTTAAAATGATAAGGTATGCTTTGTTGATTGTTTAATTTTTTTTTTTCCCCTCTTTGAAATAGGTACTACTTTAGACTTCATCCTGATCCATGTAGACCTTTAGCAATTATCCTTATTCCAACTGTGGCAATTCTAGGAAATACTAACACTGCTTCAGTAAAATCAAGGTATAGTATTTAATCTTCCATTTTTTTCATACCTGTTCCTGGTCTATTATCACCCTAGTTTTTATATCTAAGCGTGTTCTTTATTCCTTATTATGTAAACTATTCCTAAAGATAGGTCATAATAGTAATTATGATATATATATATGCAAATATAGTTTGTATGTTAGTATATTATACTTGTTTTCTTAATTATGAATTTTACTTGTTAGAATATATTTTTTTTCTTTAAAAAGTTAACTTTTTAACGATGTGATGTCAAAATTTTCTTCCCAGAAGAATGTAGTAAGTTAGTCATGACTTGATGACTTTTGAAATTGGATGATGGTGTATAAGATTCATTAGTCTAATTGTGTATATGTTTAAAATTCATAATAAAACTTGACTTTTCATTGATCGGCTGTTTAGTGTGGTAGAAATCTACCCTATACCACAGAAGTTATGTTCCATAATCCCTAGTGGATACCTGAAATTAAGAATAATACCAAATCCTGTATTATGCTGTACTTTTCCTATACATACATACTTATAATAAAGTCTGATTTATAAATTGGGTAAGTAAAAAATGAACAGCAGTAATTACCAAATAGGACACTTAAAAAATGTACTCTATGGAAATGTGGTATCTCTTTCTTAAGATACCTTACTATATGTAACACTTTTGAACCTTAGTTGACCATGGGTAACTGAAACTGCAGAAAGTGAAACCATGGATAAGAATGTCTAATGTATTAATTAGCTTTGTTAAGATAAATTTTTAGAGATAGAATTAGTGAATAAAAATTTAGCTAGTATTTTTCTGTTGTTAAAGTTTAAAAGACTAAACAAAAACAGTTATTGTAGAAATATTTTTCTCTATTCTAGCCAAAATATGACTTGTATTGAACTTTGTAAATATTGTGGACAGTTAAATTCATTATATGAAAATTTACTTCACCTAAAACCACTTTCTCAAAACTGTATATAAGATTGACATTCTGTTTTTGCTTCCAATATAATTTACATAATGCATATTTCTCTGTCTCTTTACAGTAAATTGTTGAAGATTACTTCACAATGCCCACTTCCTTTGGCTGTTGGTGTGATTGCTTTTGGGTCAGCACACTTATATAGGGTTCCATGGTTTATCTTCATCCCCCTTTTACTCCATGCACTATGCAACTTTATGTAAGATTGGATTTAAAAGATGATGAAGATGTTATATGCCTTAGACCAAAAATGAGAGGGAACACACAGATCCATCAGTGTGGACAGGCCAATCCTTTTGAAAAGACAAATCTATTTTTACAATATTAAAAATGCAAAATTAATTTTGTAATGCTTGAGGAAGTAGTTGAAGCATGGTTTTGTTTTGTGGTAAGGCATCTGTGTACTAGTAATTTTTGAAAAATTAGAAAAGTTTTTGGTGGCCACTGTCATTGAGAACTTCTCTGCATTATCAGTTAGTCTACTTGTGTCTAGTGGAGATCTTGTCCTAAACACTCAAGTGAATGTACTGTTGTTTGTAGTTTCACCTCAAGCATTCTGGTCATTTTATCAAGCTTTCCTCAGAAAAGTGGGTTATTTTGTATTTGATACTGTAAACATACTGAGAAATAAGTCCTAAAGTATTGATGAAATATACAACTAATTTAATATCTGAGAAATCGCTGAGATATTGACAACAAAGCAGTTCAGTTATTCAGTCTCTCTGCCATTTTACTTACTTCATTGACCCATGGTTGCCAAAAGTGCCTCAGGTCATGATGGATCATTGAAATAATTATACTCCAATGATCAGGAAAAAAAAAACTCTTAATTTGTTTAATTTTTTGATCATTGTGAGGATAAAAAGCAGCACAAGTAAGTGCAGTGCCACATTTAATTATGAAATTATACTATTAATGAATTAATGGTAGAGAAACTGTTACCCCATTAATAGCATAAATATAAGTAGTATTTCTGAAAAAAAAACTGAGGCCACTAGGTTAAATAGTGGGGTCTATTTATCAAGGTGATGGCTATTTAACAGATAAGAGAGTACTATTTCTATTTCATTTTAAATTTCAGCCCACTTTCAACTACAAAAGAGCAGGAACTGGTTAATGGAGCAAGAGTCTCTTTGCCTTAAGAGAGTATACTCAGATTAAAGTATATCTAGCTCATAGAGCCCTTCCTTTAAATGTATATACTGTGAATACCCAAAACCTCTCAAGTCCTTAAGTTCATTGATTTACAGCTGCGGTGAACTTGCTTGCAACCTTGTTAGTACCCAGAGATGTCCTAGGGTACCAGGTACCAGATTCTTTTTATCTGCCTTTGCATCAGGATTCCATTACAATCTCTCAGCTATGACTGCCTACATAGAGGGTTACTCCTCTTTACTGCCTAGAGAGTATTACCCCACTTTTCTTCTCATTCTTTCTCAGGACCTTGCTGCTGTCAGAGTCTTGCTTTTATTTCTGAGGGTTGTAAGTTTGTTTCATTGTTGTCTTTCCCAACTTTGTGCTTGTTATTCAGTATTCTTATTTTCACTTACTGAGAGCATTAGAGGGTATAACTTCATATTAGACATGGCAGATATATCAAACACTTATTTGAGAGAAGAAGCAAAAGGGATAAAATACTGGTATGTTAAATATCTGGAAGAAAGGTTGCTAGATTATATATGTGTCCCATGGCATACCACATGGGACACATCTGCTTATGTTTAGCTATATACATAGAGTCATAAGCCACTTCTATACACATGGTATCTTCTTATTCATGAGGTGGGTTTTTTTTTAACTATAATATGTACTGATTTTAGGTGTACAACATAATAATTCACTGCAAAATGATCATAGTCTAGTTAACATTCATCATCTTACATACTTATAAAAATTGTGTGTGTGATGATAACTTTTAAAGTCCACTTTCAAATGTACTTTTTTTCCCCTGCAGTGTTACAGTTGCATTTCAGGTTATAGGTTAAATGTGTCCTTAAACAATTTCTGAATTTAACTTAGGTCCATGTTCAAAAGAACTTTAGAAAATTAATTAATTTAGGTCTTCTACTGACAGCTATTTATAGTCATATTTATGTGATCTCAAGTCTCCTTGTTCAGTTGGTACTGCTCATGAATAAAATGTAGCAAGTTTAAATTTCCCATCTGTGAGTAGTACATTAGCTTTTAACTTTTTGTTCTTGTGTTTTTTTTTAATAAAAATAGTGATTTTATTGATTACATATAATTCAGATATATTAATATATATTATAAACTTTATACATAAGTTATTAAAAGCAGCAGACTAGGTACAAATATTCACAGAAAAGTATTTTAATATGTATGTAGTTGTCAAGACTTAAAGTCTTAACTTACTCCAACAAAATATTTCACTTCAAGACTATAAGATGATATTTATTAAACATTTTATAAACATCAGTAAGAGCTTTTAGCCATTAAATGCAAATAAATGCAGGCTTTTGTGTGTATATTTTGACAGGGTCTCCATCAAGTGTTGGTGCACTTTAAACCCATTCCACTACCAGATATGGGAAGTTAAATTCATCTGAAGATGTTTGCATGACTTGAAAAAATGTCCTTTTGTCTTTAAATTACACATTGTTTCTGAAATACTTACAATCCAGCATAGCTTTATTAGCAATGTTATTAAAACTTAAACTGTTTATTACTACTTAGGGATTATCTCATTTAGTAAACTTCTGAGCTGTACAGTTAAAACATTTTTTATTTGTTGACCTTTGAGTAAGCTTTAAACTTAATACAAATTATTTTGGGAATCTATTGTTGATAATTAGATCAAATATAGACTGTACAGGAAAAACATTGAATACTTTTAGTGTTACTAAAGCTTTCTGTGAAGTTATTATTAAAATTGGAGCTAATAATAGAAATTACTTTTCTGGGTCTTTTCCATACCAGAAATTAAATATGTTTTCCAACTTGTTCCTGGGTTGTCATCAGAGTAAAAATACCTAAAACAGTAGTCCTAAAAAAAACACTTGTGCCTAGTTAACCCCATTTTTGAGTCTCCACAACATGTATTAATCATATGGTGCTTGATGGATTTTTTTTTTAATATGTATTTTTGTCAGGTAAATTCAGATAGATATAATGGTATACTTTTTCTTTATTGAACTACACTTGTTGTATATGTGCTTATACAATAAGGAGAAAGAAGTTAAGGACTGTAGTAGGCCTTGGTTATTCTAACACTCATGTAGAAGGCACACTTTTTCACCACACATAAACACACTCACATGCACACATTTTTATATGAGGTATATTACCAGATTTGTTTATACACTTAAGTCTTCAAGACTTTTCACTCAGCATAGTTTATTCTTTTCACTTCTCTGCTCATTAGTACCTCTTAGAATGTGGTCCATGCAAATAAAAGGAAGTCATATTTAATTTTTAGTTTCCTCAATCCTCAGATAATTCTGCTGACCTTTATTTTCATCTTAAGCATTCAATCTAAATTAGTGTGATGTCTTGCTTTAGAATGAGGTATAGAGCAAAATTTTAGAGTGCTATATTTGCAATTTTAGTATAATAGCTTGTTCCTAAAATCAATTGGCTAGAGTGAAATGTGTCAGGACCTTCTACAATGAGGCATTTATTTTCCATGATCACTTTTGTTTTCTTCATGTTTTAGATTGATGAATTTCTATGTCATAGGAAACAAGAGACCTTGTGCAGTTTGGGGGGAAGATCTACTTGGAGAGCTTAATATTCCCCAGAACAAAGGAAGCAAAAAAATGATCTTTGTATTATAAAATTAGACCCTGAGAGGAAACTTCCCTAATATATAGGCAAATGTAGAAGAGACTTTTACAAAGTAGTAAGATGATTAGAGCTAAAATTTTGTCACATCTTTTTAAACAAAAAAAGATGTTACTATTATTCTATAATAATCTTTCTTTGTGCATCCATTCACAGCAAGTTTTAACAGCCTGAGGAAATAGAAAATCTGTGAGGGTACTAGTGTCTTTACTTTGAATAAGGATGATAGGAAAGAAAGATAGATAGCTCAGTACTCTGAACCTGAATATGTACACTATAAAGTCTCAATATTTCACATTTTTGATAAATTATGAGTATAGAAGACTGAGTTTCATAGTAATAACTTAGTTTTCATAATGGAATAAAATTTGCAAGTAAGTGGACTGTTTCCATCAACAATGTAAATGTAACAGTGTACCTAAATTCATAACATGTTTTTCAAAGATTAGATGATAGTCTAAGTACATGTTGATTACATTGTGTAATAGTTGAAAATTTTTAAATCAAGTACAGTACTTTCTAAAAGTGTTTGGCACATTATGTTGCCAAAAATGACTGCTTTGATATATCATGTAACCAGTTAATTTCTGATAACTTTATATAGGATTTGAGATATACATACATGTATTATGTGTGTGTCTATATTTATGTATCATAATTATTCTGTGTTCATTCTGTACATTATAACTTTGAACATTTATGAAAACTGTTGTCTTTGGTGTATTTTGATTAGTGTTAAAATTTGCATATTTAAATTAAGCAGACTAAAAGTAGCCATTTTTGTAAAGTTCATATGTTGTTCTTTTAGTGTTTTTTAAAGTATGATTTACTAGTATTGTCACGAACAAAATAGGGAAAACAGAACTGTTCAAAGCCTATATGATAGGAATATTTTGTATTTCATATTACATTTGTTTTATTTTTTAATCGAACTTTTTACATTACTTTTTCATAGAAAATACATTTTAATTCCTTTTTAACATAAAATTCTGCATTGGAAAATGTAACTATTCATATGGTTAGTAAAACACATTTTGCCACCAAAGCTAAACAAAACTATAAAATACCTCTAGATATTTGTGCCAATGAACTTTTCTAGTATATTAGGGTTAAAACAAAACTAATCTTTTCAGTATTTTTCATCTAGATTACATATTAAGTATGTAAGTGATCAAAGCTTATGTTCCATGCCTTAATATTTGTTTGAAATATTTGACTTATACCATAGTATATTTTTTTGTCTGATTTCTGGAGTAATGTTCTCTGATTTTATTGGGTAAACCCAACAACAATCAAAATTAATTGAAGTTACCTTGCTTCAGATTTGTTCTGTGATGTTTTAAAATATTTTCACACATATCATTTTTAGTACAGGTGTCTCTCACTTACATAGTAAGTTTACTGTGGAACTTTTTTGTTTACATATTTCCACTCAATCCCTTTCTATAGTGACATGTCTCATAGAGGAAAATTATTCACTAGAACCAAAAGTAGTAAAAACAAGTAAATGTTTTCAAAAGTAGATGTTTATCCAGTTGAGATTCCTTAATTTCTCCTCTCCAGAAATTCTCAAAGAGAATTTCAGTCCTTCATGTTATAGCTTTTCCCACAATTCAGTGTGACTTACTGTTTCTGTGCCCCATTTTTAATGTAGTTGACATTACTAT